TGTCACCGCTTTGGGGTTAGGCCGGGGTTTAGTCCCGGTTTTATCTAAGCCGGGTAAACAGCCCATTAATCCCGGGAGCCGGGAGAGACTAAATTAGGTGGGAATGCAAATATCGGGAGGAAATAATGGCAGGGGACACCGGGAGGTTAAAAATAAAAAAAAATGGGTGGAAAAGGAGGGAAAAAAAATGGGATTTGTTTTATCCGGATCGGAAAAAAAAAAAAATGGGATTTGTTTTATCTGTGAGAGGAGGGGAAAAAATGGGATTTGTTTTATATGGGACAGAGGAAAAATGGGATTTGTTTTATCTGGGAAGGGGGGAAATGGGATTTTGTTTTATCTGAGACGGGGGGGAAAAAATGGGATTTATTTTATTGGGAAGAGAAAGGGGGGAAATGGGAATTCTTTTATCCAGGAAGGAGAAAATAAAAGTCAGGGAGGAAAAAAAATTGGGATTTGGAGTTTCAGGATATCCAAAGGAATCAGGGAGAGGAGGGAGCCGGGATTTTTTCCAACTGGGATCGAGGTCAGGAATAACCCCAAACTTCCCCCGTGGTGGCCTTTGGGGGACCTTTGGGGTTTTTTGGGAATTCAAGGTGGGAAAAGCAGGGATTCGACTTTTAGGGATGGGAAGCTCAAGCCCACTTGGATTTTAAAGGGTTTTGAAGGATTTTTAAATATTTTAAAGTGGTTTGAAGGATTTTTAAGGATTTTAGAGAGTTTGGAAGGAGTTTAAAGGATTTTAAAGGGTTTTGAAGAGTCTTAGAAGGATTTTTTAAATATTTCCAAATATTTCAAAGGGTTCTGAAGGATTTTGAAGGGTTTTAGAGAGTCTGGAACTATTCTAAAGGATTTTAAAGGGTTTTGAAGGGTTTTAAATATTTCAAAAGGGGTTTGAAGGATCTTGAAGGCTTTTAGAGAGTTTGGAACCATTCTAAAGGATTTTAAAGGGGTTTTGGAGACTTTTAGAAGGATTTAAAAATATTTTAAAATATTTTAAAGGGATTTGAGGGATTTTCAAGGGTTTTAGAGAGTTTGGAACCATTCTAAAGGATTTTAAAGGGGTTTTGGAGACTTTTAGAAGGATTTAAAAATATTTTAAAATATTTTAAAGGGATTTGAGGGATTTTCAAGGGTTTTAGAGAGTTTGGAACCATTCTAAAGGATTTTAAAGGGGTTTTGGAGACTTTTAGAAGGATTTAAAAATATTTTAAAATATTTTAAAGGGATTTGAGGGATTTTAAAGGCTTTTAGAGAGTTTGGAACAAGTTTAAAGGGTTTTGAAGGGTTTTGAAGGACGACACCGCCCCTGTGCCCACTCCAGCCCTTCCCTCATCCCATCCTTCCCCCACACCTCATGCATCAGGTGTTTATCGGGAATTCCGGAGCTCTTCCCGGTTTTTTGGAAGGAGTTCAGAGAGCACCGGGAGCTCCCCTCCCCTAAATTTGGTCCTCCCTGGGTTCCGGTGCCTCCCGTGCCCTCCAAGGCCTCTCCCGGCCTTGAAATCCGGGCTGGAAAAATCCCAAAACCCATCAGTTTCCAGTTAAAATAAACTTCCCGTTTCTCCCCCAAATTCCTGGGCTTTTGTGGCTTTGATCCTCTGCGGAGCATCTCCCTTCGATGGATTAATTAAGTCATTAATTAATGATTGGCCAGGAGGTGTCTGGGAGATTTGGGATGATCCAGGGATTTGTCTCCGGTGGGAGATATCCCTGTCCACGGCACGGGGTTGGAATTGGGGGATTTTTAGGGGTTTTTCCCACCCCAAACCATTCCAAGATTCCTGAGACAAACCACGCAGACCCCACAGCCTCATCCCATGGATAAACTGGATAAAATTCCTTAAGTCCGGGTCAATTCTTCCCTCCCACACCTCTTGGATATGATGGAAGCTCTTTGGGATTATCCAGGCCAGGAAAATGTGGGAAAATCCCAAAAAAACTGCCCAAACCCAGAGGTTTCCTGGGCTGGGAAGGTGCCAGAGTGAGGGGAAAACCCGAGCCCAAATCAATCCTGATCCCAAATCAACCTTGATCCCAAATCAATCCTGACCTCAAATCAATCCTGACCCCAAATCAATCCTGATCCCAAATCAATCCTGATCCCAAATCAATCCCGACCCCAAATCAATCCTGATCCCAAATCAATCCCGACCCCAAATCAATCCCAATGGATGGGATGTGCCTGTGGGGTGGGATTGGTTTATTTGGGATGAGTTTGTGGGATTGGTTTGAGATGAGTTTGGGGGTTGTGGGAGGATGAGGTGTCCTCCTGTGGGAGGATTTGGGGCTTTTGGGAGGATTTGGGGTTTTTGGGAGGATTTGGGGGCAGCCTTTGGGTGCTTGGATGGGGTTTGGGGATAAAAGGAGAGGAAGAAGCGGCACCTGCGTGTGTTCCTGCCCGGGCGCGATCCCAGGGCGTGTTCCCGTTCCCATTCCCATTCCCGTTCCCGTTCCCGTTCCCGTTCCCGTTCCCATTCCCGTTCCCGTTCCCATTCCCGTTCCCATTCCCATTCCCATTCCCATTCCCGTTCCCATTCCCATTCCCATTCCCATTCCCGTTCCTATTCCCATTCCCGGCCGGCCCCACACGGGGGCGCTGCAGAATTCCGGAGCCGCCGCCGAGCTCGGAGCGACCGCGGGACCCCCCCCAAAATTCTCCCAAAAAGACCCCAAAACCAACAAAATCCCCCCAAACAGACCCCAAAACCACTGAAACCACCCAAACAGACCCAGAGACCACCAAAATCAGCCGGAGTAGACCCCAAGTACACCAAAATCACCCCAAATCACCCCAAATAGGCTCCCAAAAGCTCAGATACACCAAAGAGACCCCGATTAATTAAAAAAAAACCCAAATCCACTCAAAGGAATCCCAAGAGCCACCGGGAGACGGCCCTGAAAAACCCAAAAAAATGTGAATAACCCCCAAAAATGCAAATAACCCCAAAAATGCAAATAACCCCAAACAGCCACGGCAGACGCGGAGAGACCCCCATGGGCACCCCCAAAACTCCACGGACAGACCCAAAAATCCATGGAAATCCCCTCAAAATTCCCCAATATCCACGGACAGTCCCAAAAATCCCCCAATAAACACGGACACACCCCAATCTTGGCAGAAAATCCCAAATATCAACAGACAGCCCCCCAAAAAATCCATGGACACCCCCGAAAATCCATGGATATTCCCTCCAGAACCCCCAAAAATCCATGGATATTCCCTCCAGAACCCCCCCAATATCCATGGACAGTCCCAAAATTCCACCAATAAACAGGGATACGCCCCAATATCCCAACGGGAACGGAGGAATATCCAGAGGGATGGAGCAGAATCCAAGGGATAAAGGAATATCCCAAGGCATAAATCGATATCCCATGGGGCGGAGCCGTATCCCAAGGGTTGCAGCAATTCCTGGAGCTGCCGAATCCATAAAAACCCAATTTCTAAAATCCTGGAATGGTCGGGATCGGGAAGGGTCCTTAAATCCCACCCCATTCCCAAGGGCAGCTGCACTTCCCGTTATCCCATTATCCCGTTATCCGGCCTTGGGCACTCCCAGGGATCCGGGACAGCCGCAGCTTCCCTGGGAATTCCATCCCAAATTCCCACCAAGATTTCCTGCTCCAAACCTTTCCCTCCTTCCATAAAAATTAACGACCATAGCCCAGAATTAAGGAATTTCCCGGTTTCTAAGCCAAAAGCGGTTTGGGGAAGTCTCCCGGAGCCCGGGACACTCGGGAAGTGTCTCCCAAGGAATCCTGAGCATTCCAAGGTCCCTCTGGGCTTCCCGGCACTTCCCAGGCTCCGGCTCTGCACAAACATTTGCTCCGGAATTTCTCCGTAGGGAAAATCCTCCGGAGCTCACGGCTCATTGAGTAAAGTCATTCCCAACCCTCTCCGTCCCTCCAGGGATAACCGGGAACGTTCCCGGATTCCCAGGAGGAATCAGAGCGAGGAAAAACCTGTCCCAGTGGATTTTCCCGAATCCAAACTCCTCCGCCTCCAAACTTCCCGGGTTTTATTTCGGTGATCATCGTCCCAAATCCAACCTGCTCCCATTAAAACCTGGATTGAATCAAGTGGGGAATTCAGGAAGGTGGGAAAAGCTCCGGAATTCTCGGTGTTGTGTTGGAGTGTGGAAAAAAGCCACGGGAATGGGAAGGATTTTCCCAAATCCTTGTCCCGAAGAAATCCCAGATTTTGGGCTGGGAATTACTGTCCCACGAGAGCAGGAAGAGGAGGTTGGGATGGAAAAAGGGGATGAAGGAAAAAAGGGAGGGAAGTGCTTGGGAAGGAGAAAAGGAGGGGAAAAATCCTTGGAAAACGGGAATTTGAGGATTTGAGAGCAGCCGGATCCGCTGTTGGACAGGAAGAAAATCCCAAAAATCAGAACCAGCTCGACTCCGTGGATCCAATTCCAACTCAAATCCGTCATTCCCGAAGCATCCCTCATCCCAGCATCGGCGCTTCCCAAAAAATCCTCGTTCCCCAGCAATTCCTCAGGAAACGCCCTCGGATTCCTCCAGTCTGGAGCAGGAGAAACCTCAAATTTCTGAGCACCAGAATATCCCAAAAAATCCTCTCCAGAGGAAATCCCGGCAAAGAAACCAGAATTCCAAAAGGTTGGAAGACAAAGCCTCCTGAAAGTGGGAATTTGAGCTCCCTGGAAGGAAAACTCCCACAAATCACCCGGGAATTTTGGGAAATGTTGGCTGAAATACGGAGTTTTTCCATCAGAATCAATCCCGAAGAAACCAGCACCAAGATAAGAAAGAAATACGTGGAATTTCAAGGATGTTATCCAGGATTTTCACATTTAGTGGGAACGGACAAAGCGCTAAAATTCCCAAAAATCCCCTCCTGAATTATGGGATGGATGTAAAACCAAAGGATTCCAGGTTTATTTATAAAATTCCGAGAAACATCAGTGACATTTCAGAATTCCAAGAAACTTTTCCCTAAAATTTCCAAATTTCCAGAAATATCAGTGACTCACCCTCATCCTGGAATTCTGCTGGGAACGGGACCTCGGAAATCCGGGAAGGGCCAAAATTCCAGCTGGGATTTTCATCGGAGCCATCCCATCCGTCGTGCTCATCCTCTCCTGGATGGGAAGGACAAGGAGGGGCTGATTTTTGGGAATTTTTTTAGGAATTTTGGAATTCCTAACCCCAAACATCCCGTTTCCTTCTGGTTCCATCCAAAATCCAAACTCGTTTTTTGTGGGATTTGAGGAGTTTTAGGGCAAACCCATCCCTCGGGGCCAAGGCAGGGAATTCCTGCTGCAAAAACACCGGGAAAAACCTGGGAATGCCAGTCCTGAGGGCCAAAATTCCAGAGGCAAATCCAAATCCTTGTCCCTGCCCTCAGGCCACGACCTTGCCAGAAATCCGTGTGTAAAATAAAGAATTACACTAAAAGGGAGAATTTTCCAGGATTTTAGGGAAGAAGAGCTTGGAAATCCTTCAGGAGAGAGGGAAAAGGGATTAAAATATGGATTCCCTGCAGAAATTTCCAGGGTTAAGGATAAAAACAGGGATTCCCTACAAAACAATGAACAAAGTGTGGAATTGGGTTTTCCCCTCCTAAAATTTTCCCGGATTTTGGGGAAAAATGCTTGGAAATCCTTCAGGAGAGAGGGAAAAAGGATAAAAATGTGGATTGCCTGTGAAATTTACTGGGATAAGGATAAAAACAGGGATTCCCTGCAGAAATTTCCAGGAATAAGGATAAAAACAGGATTCCCTGCAGAAATTTACTGGGATAGGGATAAAAACAGGGATTCCAAGAAGAAATTTATAGGAATAGGGATAAAACCACGGATTCCCTACAAACCAGTGGCCAAGGGCAGGGTGTGGAAAGGAGCTTTCCGCTCCTCAAATGAACCTTACGTTGAATTTTCCAGGGAATTTTCCTCCTGCTGATGGATTCTCTGGAGTGGCCACTCCGTGCCAGGTGTTGGGGTGGATTTTTATCGGGAATGCGGCGGCGCTAAAAGGTTTGGGATTCAATATTTGCTCAGGACAAAGCGGCGGGGCCAGGCCCGATAAGGGAGCGGAGGCAGCTGCTCCTCACTCAGCGCCCTCCAAACAGCTCCAAAACTGGAATTCCCAGCTGCTCCTTCATCATTTTCCAGCCCCAATTCCCACTTTTCTCCTGGTAAACACCGGGAGAGAGGCCGGAAAACACCGGGAGAGTCCAGCTTTTAATCCAGGCCTCAGGGAAAGGCCTCGGGCCTAGCAGGGAAGGCCCAAATTTTCCCTTCATCCCAGAAAAAGGAATTTCCAGCTGTTCCTTCATCATTTTCCAGCCCCAATTCCCACTTTTCTCCTGGTAAACACCGGGAGAGAGGCCGGAAAACACCGGGAGAGTCCAGCTTTTAATCCAGGCCTCAGGGAAAGGCCTCGGGCCTAGCAGGGAAGGCCCAAATTTTCCCTTCATCCACAAAAAAATTGGATTTTCCCACATTCAGCATTTCCCAGGGCACATTTTCCCAGGAAATTTCCAGTTCCTCATCCAAAGGAACCGTCTGGAATCAAATGAGGAATAAAACGCCCAAGGATTTTCCTCTCCAGGATCAGCTCCAGGCCCAAATCCCAAACTCCGCTGAGGTCCCAAGCAAAAAATTTGGGTTAAAAATGAGAAATTTAGGGGTAAGAGTGAAAATTTCTGGATTAAAAGTGAAAAATTTGGGATTGAAGTAAAGAATCCAGGGTTAAAAATAAAAAATTCGGGGTTAAAAGGAGAAAATTTGGGGTTCACAGAAATTCATGGAATTCCCGGTGCTGGGAGCATCTCCGTGCCCCCATCCCAGCTCTGGGAATGGCAAAATCCTTTCTACAATTCCTTAAAAACAACATTTCCTTGGAATTTTGCCTTTTTTCCGGCCCCACACGGAGGTAACAGGTGGCTGCCTCTAACGAGCTCCAGGTGTGGGATTATTGGGATAACGAGCAGCCCGATCCCGCTTTTCCAGAGGCTGCGCCGGGCTGAGCGGCTCCGGTACCTCGGAACGCTTTGGAACAGGAACAAATTTTCCCAATTTTCCCAATTTTCCCATTTCCAAACGGGAAAATTCCCGCCGGGATCAGGCGGAGGGAGAAGCCGCTCAGCACATCAGCCGCGGATCCGGTGGGAAAATTCCCAAATCCGGAATATCCGAGCATATTATCGTCATAAATTGAGGGGGGTTTTTGCCAGGAAAGTGGGAATTCCCAAAAATCCCATAATCCACCCAAATAAAGCTCGGCTGGAAAATGATCCACCATCAATCGTTCCCATTTTTAGGGATCGTTCCAAGCGCAGCTGCGCCGCACAAATCCATGGAAACGGAGCTGCTTCCTTTTCCTTTCGCACTGGGAATATTCCGGAATGTTCCTTCAGAACCTAAACTCCACATCCCGTGCTCCCTAAAAACCCAATCCCATGGTTTTTCCATTTGGATTCACATCCCAAGGATTTCTCCTGCTTTTAATCCACTAATTAGATTTAGAGGAGGAAAATATCTGGATTTAGAGAAGGAAAATATCCGGATTTAGAGAAGGGAAATATCTGGATTTAGAGAAGGAAAATATCCTGATTTAGAGTAGGAAAATATCCAGATTTGGAGGATGAAGAGCTCTGGATTTGGAGGAGGAAAAATTCCCCCTCTTTTCCAACTCAAACCTCTCCTTAAATCGTCAAAAATCCCCAAAACTAAAATCACTTTTTAACGGGAATTTTTCCTTCTTTCAGCTGCAGCCGCTTCCCACGGAGGGAAAGAAAAAGGGAATGAATGAATCCCAGCAATGCCAGGAAAAAACTTTCATTTCCCACAGCTTTTTATGGGAATTGCAATTAAATTTCCTTGGCTTTCTCACGTACCCAGAGCTTCATTAAACAGCTCTTAAATCCCGGGAAAAATCAATACCGGGCGAGCTCCGGGTGGGATTTTACAAGGAGCGGAAGTGAAATCCCAAATTCCCGTTCAAATCCCAGGAAAAAAAAAACTAAAATTCCTCCTCAAATCCCACCTGGTTCTTTTAATATCCCTGGATTTTCAGAGATTCCTTTCCCAGAGCTGTGAAAGGATTTTAGGAATGGTGGTTTAATATCCCGAGAATTGGCCGGAATCCTTGGAAAATCCCATGGAAATGGCGCCGCAGCCCCAGAAAAAGTGGGAATGGACGAGATTGGAGCTCTGGGATTTGGGGTGAAGCTCTGGAAGTGCTGCTTTTACAAATTTGGGATGGCTTGGGCTGGGAAATCCAGGACATTCCCATTTTTCCAGAGCCTTCAAAGCTCCAGAGTTTGGATTTTCTGTGGGATGAACCTGGGAAGAGCCGAGGGTTTGGTGGGTGTGACTTCCTTGGAATTCCAGGGCCTGGATAATTCTGTATTTCCTTAAAATCACACATTTTTTTATTTATTGTTTTCCTCGGAGTGCCAGAGCCTGGATAATTCCATATTTCCCTAAAATCCCAAGTTTTCTATGGATTGATTTCCTCGGAGTGCCAGGGCCTTAAAAATTCCCCTTCAAATCCTGATTTTCTATTCCATCCATCCCTCCCATTCCCAGCTTATCCCAACACAATTATCCCCCCCAAAAAATTCCACCTGGAGACTCCAAACCGCTCCAGCACCATTTCCTGGGATGTGATCCCACCCAAAAATCCCAGAAATTCCTCCCCACATCCATAAGGAGCCAAATTCCCTTCACTTCCCAAATTTCCACCCCGAGCTGTACACGGAATCCGCTCCAAGCCTCGTTTTTCCCCCTCATTTCCCGGGTTTTTTTTGTTAATTACTCGTAATAAAGCAAATTAACGGCGCTCTAAAAACGCCGGGAAAAGGGAAAAATCTTTGGGATCGGGGTTTGGATGGAGCTGCTGGAGCTTGCAGTGATTCCCTGCGCCCAGCAGGTCGGGCTGCAAGGCAGCGGAGCCGGGAATGCGCCGCTGGAATTTCCCTGCCATCCCCTCCCCCAGGCATGGAAAAAACACGGAATTTCTTGGGAATATCCAAACCCAGCAAGGAATCCCGGGAAAGGATGAAAAGGTGGATTTGGGGCTGGTGGAGAGGGGGGATTATTTAAAATATTAAAATTAATTAATTAATTAATATTATATTATTTCTTAATTAATAATTTATTGATTAAAATTGATAATTTAATATATTAAAATATTCCAGATCCTGCAGTGTGTCCGAGTTTAGGGCGGAATAAACAGGAAAAACCAAAGCTTTGGGATTTTGAGGATAATCCCAAAGGGAATTCAGCAGCTCAGGGGTTAAATTATTCCTTGTCCTAGGGCAGTGAAAATTCCTGGATCCAAAAAACCTGGAATAAGTGGAAAATGATTAATCCTTAATCTTTAATCCCAGGTGTAAATATTCCGATATTTTCCCTGTCTGATTGTGGGGTTGTTTTTAGTCAGGGAAAATTCCCAAGAGGAGAAATCCCAAACCCGGCTCAGAGCCCACAAACGACATTCCGGGAGATTCCAGCTTGGAATTCCCTGCTTGGAATTCTCAAGTTGGAATCGGAGTTCTCAGCTTGGAGTTCTCCATGTGGAGTTCTCGACTTGGAATACTCAAGTTGGAGTTCTCCGCTCAGAGTTGACAACTCTGGAATTCTCTGCTTGGAATTCTCAATCCGAAGTTCACAGCTTGGAATTCTCCACTCGGAGTTCTCAGCTTGGAGTTCTCCACCTGGAATTCTCCACCCGGAATTCTCCTCTCGGAGCAGAGCCTCGGGCAGGGCTGCTCCGAGCTCGTTCTCCTGCATCCCAGGAACTCAGGGGTTCCCAAAATGCCCCAAATCCATGAAAACCAGCGGCTCCCTCCTTCCCTCTGGATCTTCCAGTCCTCTTGGATCACCCCTGAATTCTTTTCCCTCCCTTTTTCCTCCCTTTTCCTGCCCTTTCCTCATCTCCCCCGGGATTTCCTCCCTCTCCTGGCTCTTTTCCTTGGCTCTTTTCCATCCCAAATTTTCCCTCTGGAGAATTATGTAATAATTCTGCAGAATTCCAGGCAAAACTGGGCAATAATTAATTAATGATTCTGTAGAATGGGCAGTAATTAATAAATAATTCTATAAAACTCCAAGTGAAGCTGGGCAATAATTAATTAATAATTCTACAGAGCGGGTAATAATACATTAATTAATCTGCCAAATTCCTGCAAAACTGGGCAATAATTAATTAATAATTCTGCATAATTTGGGGCAAAACTGGGCAATAATTAATGAACAATTAATAAATAATTAATGAATAATCCTGCAGAATTCCAGGCAAAACTGGACAATAATTCATTAATTATAATTAATAATATAATTAATTCATTCATTAATAATCCTGCAGAATGGGCAATAATTAAGAAATAATTCCATACTGAAGAAACGATTCCCAAAAATCCCAAAAGTTGTTTTGTTTTCTGTCCGTCCCCGTGGAGTTTTGATGTTTGGAAACGCGGGGAATTCCTCGCGCGGCGCCGGGCCGGAGATTTCACCGACAGCTCCCAAATCTCGTCAATCCCAACTTTTTTTTCTTCCCCTTTTTCCTGCTTTTTCCAAACACTTCATAAATCCCGGCCGGGTTTTGCGTTCCTGAACCCTGCTCCGCAAAAGCGGCGCGAGCCAGAAAGGGCTTTGGATAAATAAAACTTCCTAAAATCAGCCGGCACTCCATTCGTTCCGGACACCCCGGCACGGCTTCAAAGGGAATTTTTGTGACAAAAAAAGGGATTTTGGGATTTTTTTTTTGGGCTGTTTTAATGATTTGCTGCTTGTTCTTGTCAAAACTACACGGAGCAAAAATGCGGGAGAGGGGAGAGCCTCGGGAAACGCCAGGTTCCGGCTCCTGTCCGGCTCCAGCTCCGTGGATTTGGGGTTTTACAGGGGAAAAAGGCGTTGGTTTTTTTTAAAGGATTTTTGGGATGGTTTTGGGAGCTGTCGGCCTGCCTGCCATGATTCCAACAGGATTCTGGGAAGGATTTGTGAGTTTTATTCCAAGGCAGAGTGAAAAAAGGGCGAAATGGATAAAAGGGAGATGAAACGATCCCAAAAAAGAGATCCCAAAAAATGAGACAAAAAACAGATACAAAAATCACCAAAATGGGGTGAGGCCTACTGGGGCCTACTGGGGCCTACTGGGGCCTACTGGGGCCTACTGGGGCCTACTGGGGCCTACTCCAACTTTCCTCCTCGTTAATGGATCCTTTTAATTACCAGAGACCCCCATTTGTAAATCCTAATTCTTCCCTCCATTCTCCACATTTACATTGATTGGGACATGGAAAAAATCCTGGGGAGAAATCTGGGAAACGGGAACGAACCCAAACACGTGGAATTCTGCCTGATCGGGATTTGACACCTGGGGCTGGAGATCCCTGGGACCGACAGAAACATCTCAAGCAAATTCCCATTCCAGCAGTGCCTCTTTCCCTCAAAATTCCCATTCCAGAAGTGCCTTTTCCCATCACAAATTCCCACTTCAGCAAGGCCCATTTTCCCCTTACAAATTCCCATTCCAGCAGTGCCTGTTTTCCTCAAAATTCCCATTTCAATGATCCCTCTTCCCTCACAAATTCCCATCCCTCTCTCCCAGTTTCCCTCCCAAATTCCCACTCCAGCAATTCCAGAATTCCAGCCCTGACCCCCAGCTCCCGTTTATCCCCACGGAGACCTTTTCCCCCTTTATCCTTCCCTTTCCCACAGCTCTGGCTCCCCTTTCCCTTCCCAAATTCCCGGTCCTTTCCCGCTTTCTCCTCCCTTGCAGTACCCCCGAGCGCCTCTCGCCGCTCCCTCAGACCGTTCCTTCCTTCCCTTCCTCCCAAATCCCAGCTGCTCTCCAACGTTTTCCTTGGAAAACAGCGCCAGGAGCTCGGGGGAAGGGCTCCAAATCCCGATTTTCCTTCCCAAATTCCCTCTCTTTCCGAGGAGATCACTCGGAATTAAATGCACGGGATTGAAACGCTTCACCCTGGCGATTCCAAAGGGGAATTCAGCTCCTGCTGGGGCTCTGTTCCTATGGAATACGGGAAAAAGAAATTGGAGCTCCAGCGTTTGGTGCCAGGGATTTGGGAACAGAAATTCCTGCTCCGGATCCTTAAATCCTGCTCTGTCACATCCACACTTAAATCCTAAATTTTCCTCAAAAGTGGGGGGAAAAATCCCATCCTGAAATTAGGGAACAAATCAGGAATATCCAAGAATTCCTTCCTCCAAAAAAACCAAAAACCAGGAGTGGAAAAAATCCGCTCCGGAAAGAGAGAAAGTCCCAAACTCCTGATTTGGATGAATTTTTTTGGATCCTGGGATTGATTCGGTTCATCCCAGCCAATCCTGGGAAGCCCTGGTTTGGGATATCTGGAATTCCTGGGATTTTGCTCTCCAGAGGCATTCCCAAAGCTCTGCCTTTACCGGATCTGGCTCAAGCTGGGCTTAAATCCTTTAGAAAATATTCCCTAAATATTCCAAGGAAAATCCTGGAAGGAGCCTCTTCCTTAAATCCACCCTCCTTTATCCCGGGATTTCCCAGCCCTCTTACCTTTATATTTAATTTTATCCCTAAAAAATCGATCCCAGCTCCACAATTCCCTGGCTCTTTTCCACCCAGGCCACCCAAATTCCCATTCCGGGCTCTCCTTTCTCCACACGGATCAAGCTGAGCCTCCTCCTACATCAAATCCGCCTTTTCTCCCTCGGATTTTCCCATTTTCTCGGAACGTTTTATCCCAACAATATTCATTCCCAAGGGACACATCGAGAGAAGAGCTGGGAATTCCCAGCCGGGAACCTGAAGGCAAAACTTCCCAGCGGGAATTCGAAGCGAGCCGGGCTCTCCTTTCCAACCCCCTGCCCGGTTCCACATCCCCATTTTCCTACTTTTCCTTCAGCTTCCGACTCCACAAAAAGAAAATTCCGAGGAACAAAAGCCTCCCTCCTCCTCCACCCTTGAAATTCCATGAACTTTTCCCAATTTAAAAACCTCATTTGGAGCCTTTTATGCGCTCGGATCTTCCCTCCTTCCCATTTTATTTCTCATTTTCAGCCCAGCTGTCCCTCGGACTTTTCCAAAGGGTGCCAGATGCTGGATTCAGCGGGAAAACAATGCTCGGGAAGCAATTAAAGCTCCGAGGCTCAGATTCAAATGGGATAACGCCGCTCCCGGTGGGAATTGCGGGGCTGCCGCGCTCCCGGCTTTTCCAGGATGGGCTGGAAGCCGGCCCTGAGCGAGGAGGGAAAACACGGGAATTTGTTCCTGGGGAAAAGGAAGGATCGGAAGAGTTGGAATGCCAGGAAGGGATTTATTCCCACAGTAAAGGATCGGAGGGGTTGGAATGTTGGGAATGGGTTGAATTCCTGGAGGAATTGAAGGTTTGGAGGAGTTGGAATGGCGGGAAAGGATTTTATTCCCGGAATTACGGATTGGAGGGATTGGAATGGCGGGAAGGGATTTTATTCCAGTTGCTCCCAGCTCAGTGGAGCTCCTGGAGATCTTCCACAAATATTTAACAAGGAATGGTCATTCCCGGAAAATTCCCATCCTGATCCTGGACTCTGCTCTGGAAAACCGAGGGACACCCCGGAATCTTCACTTCCAATCAGTTCTCCATGGGAATTCTTTTCCAAGCTTCCCAAACTTCTCCAGATTTCTGGAGTTGCTGGAAAACTTCCCAGAGCCACAGGAATTGTGGGATTTGCTCTCTGGGATGAGATTCCCGCTGCGGAATTTTCCCACCCCAGGAACTGCCCCGCACATCCATAAAAACCCTTACTCCTGGGAATTTGGCACCGGGAACGCTTCCCAATCCAACCCTTCCCAGCCTTTTCCCAGCTGGACTCACCTCGGGATGGGAATTCCAGGTGGTACCTGAAAAAACAAAGGGAAAATGAGCCCTAAAATCCCGGATTTTCCTCCAGGATTATTCCAGCCTGAGGAATTAGGGATGGACGGGAAAATCCAGGAACCCAGGGAATGGGAAACGCAGGGAATTCCAAGAGGAATTGGGGTGTGCCAGCCCTGGAGAGGGCTTGGAACAAGCTGGGATAGAGGGAAGGGAATGGGTGGGATTTAAGGCCCTTCCCAACTGCAATTCCACGGATTTCCAGACATTGGAACGGATCCTTCCCCAAACACAAAAATTCCTGCCAAATTTTTTCCCTCAAATCCTTTGGAAGCCACTTCCAAACCCAAAATATTCCAGGATTTTTTGCTGAGCTCATTCCCAGAAAGTGGAGGGTGAGCCACGCTCTGCCCATTCCCAAAAAAACGAAAGGATTGAATGTAAAAGATCCAGGATTCTTTTCTCTCTCCCACTTCGGGCAAATCTTGGGAATCGTTTGAATCCAGGAACGGGGCTGGGAAATTTGGGAATCCCACCAAGGATTGGGAATGAGCGCAAAGTGCCCCTCCCAGGATGAGCTCCGGTGGCAGGAATCCAAGGTGGAAAAATCCAATCAATTGGGATCCTCATTAAAAGCTTTCATGGAGAAAATGATTTCTCGGGAACATCCGAGCTCCCGGCACGGATCCATCGGGAAACAGCCCCGGAATTCCGATGAGGGGCCTGGCATTTATTGGACTCGTTTGCTTTGGATTGAAAAAAAAAACCGGGAAAAATCCAAAATGTGCACAGGGAGAAAATTTCCCGGGATATTGGGTTGGGAAGAGCCTTTTGGAGGAAAAGTTGGGAATTTCTCGGGATGTTTTTGGGAGCGGTTCCCAAATTCCACATGGAATATTTTCTCCATCCCGTGGCTGCTCCATTTTATCCCTAAATCCCAAAATCCCAGCCCCACGCGAGGGCATCTGGAAAAGCAGCTCCAGCTTTTTTTTCCCACAATTTTTTTTATCCTTCAATCCCAACATTTCCATGGAAAACTCAAATTATTCACCATTTAAGCCGAAAAAAAAATCAGCTCTTAGAGATCCCTGCATTCCCCCAATCCCAAAAAAATCCAGCATTCCCAAAATCCGGGATATTCGTGCCTCGTGGGCAAAGAAGAGAAGCAAAAATCCCTTTTTTTTTTTTCTGGGAATTTTTGCCTCGGGAGCTTTTCCTGGCCATGTTTTAGCGCCAACATTTCCTGAATGATTTTCTGTCACTCGCAATTCCCGCTCCACGAAAGCACCGGGGCTTTGTTCCCGACCTCTGTCATTTTTAATCCCAGGAAATGGCCTAAAAAAAAATGGGAAAATTGAGTTCCGTTCCCTCCCAGAGCAGCTCCGGGAAGGCTGAGGGAAAGCACCAAAAAATAAAAAAAAGAAGAAATAAAAGCTTGGATTTTTCCTGCTTTTTAAAATTTTTTTAGGATTAAAAAAACAGCAAAAAATTCCGGTTTTGGCTCCAGGATTCCATGCTTGGATTGGTTTTACTCAGGGAAGGAAAATTTGGGATTAAATGGAATTGGGAATGGGGGGAGGAGGAGATTTTAGGGAATGTGGAAAAGGCGTGAGCTCGTTTCTGCCTCTGCCAAGGGAAATCTTGGATAAATCCCATCAATGCCGGATCTTGGATTTCCAGGAAGTTCCCCCATGGAATTTCACTCTTTTCCCAATATTTTCTTTAAGATTGGAGTTTCCCCCACCCCTTCCTGCAGAAAACCTCATCCCAAACCTTATTTTCCCAAATTTCCAGGATATTTTTGGGCCTACAACACCCAAAAAACGCAAAAATTTGGGCAAACTTGGGTTTAACCAGATTTGAGCAGCTGGAAAATCCCAAAATCCAAACCCTCTGAGCCGGATCCATAAAATCCAGGCAGCTTCCAATCAAATTCCCTGTTTTTCCTCATTAATTAAGAGCTGATATTCCCAAGGGATGGGGTGGGATGGGATCTTTGGAGCCGGGATTTGAATGTCTGGGAAAACAAATATTTTAAAAAATCGATGCTGGATGAGATTTCCAATAGCGGGGGAAAAAAATGGGAGCCAGGAAAATGGGATTGGGAATTTTCCATTAGGGAAGAAAGGGATTTAAATTAATTTCTCAGCTCAGTTGAGGCTCTCAGGTTTCAGGTTAACGATGGATCCGGGAGGAAATGGATGGGAAAAGTGGGATAATTCCATCAGCTGGGCTGGGAAAGGCTGGAAAATTCCGGAAAGGAACAACCCAGAAGGCTCCAAAGGGAATTAGCGGTGGGAATGAGCTCAGGGATAAAAGGAGGTGAAAATGGGATTAATTTAATTTGGATTAAGATGGGAAATTCCTTCCTTAAAAGAAAAAGTGGGGGGTGGGAATTCCACACCGGGAATAAATCGGGAATAGCCGAGAATTCCTTCCCCAAAAAAAGTAAAAAGAGGCAAAAATTCCCATCCTGAAATTAGGGGAAAAAATCAGGAATTTCCCAGAATTCCTTCCTTAAGGAAAAGGGTGGAATCCCATCCTGAAATTAGGGGAAAAAATCAGGAATATCCCAGAATTCCTTCCTTAAGAAGAAGGGGGTGAAATTCCCATCCTAAAATTATGGAATAAATCAGGAATATCCCAGAATTCCTTCCTCAAAAAAAAGGGAGGGGAGAGGGCAGGAAATCCCATTTTGGGATTGAAGAATAAATGAGGAATATCCCAGAATTCCTTCCTTAAAAAAAGGAGGGAAAAATCCCCGTCGTGAAACAGCGAAAATCCAAACAAAACTACGACACTTTCCCAGAATTCTCCCGTTATCCCGAGCCTGGAATATCCATAAAATTCCAGACCATGGGGGGATTGCAGCAGAACGAGGAATGCTCAGGATCTGATGGAATTCCGGAGGATTTGGGTTAGGAAATTCGGGAGAACCGGACCTGGTTTTGACGCGCTGGAAGGCGCCGAGAATCGCGTCCCGCTGCCGCCGGGCCCCGGCGCTGAGCGGCTCCTCCCGCAAAACCCACGCCAGGAAATCCTCGGCCTCTGGAAAACAGGGAACGGCCGGGAAATCAGGGAAATCGGGAAGTTCTCCTCGGAGAGGAAAAGTGGGAATGGGAAGGGGTGAGGAAACGGCCTCCACAGCCCCTGGAGAGCCGTGGGGTGGGAGAAGTTTGATCCCAAATCCCGCTCTGTGATTTTTGCCGGATCCTACAGGGACAGTGACGAGGTCACCCCAAAACCTCATAAAATATAAAATTAATAAAAAATTAACGACTTTAATTCCTCCATTCCCAGGCCCGGAGCCTCCTCAGCTCCTGGAAATCTCCTCAGGGCCTGGAAATTTCCTTGGGATTGTCAAGAGCCGGCAAAGTTTGATCCCAAATCCCTCTCCGTGATTTTTGCGGGCTCCTCAGGAACAACAATGAGATCACTCCAAAACTTCAAAAAATACAAAATAAATAATAAAGAGAAATAATTAAAACTCTTCCATTCCCATCCTGGAGCCTCCATAATTCCTGGAAATCTCCTTGGGATTGTCAAGAGCCGGCCAAGTTTGATCCCAAATCCCTCTCCGTGATTTTTGCCGGATCCTTCGGGCCACAGCAGGGTCACCCCAAAACCTCATAAAATACAAAATGAATAATAAATAGAATTAATTAAAACTCCTCCATTCCCATCCGAGGGGAAAACACGGAATTTGGGCAGGAGCTGGGATGGATTGGGAGAGGATGGGAGCGGAAGTTTTCCGGTGTTTCGGAGGGGAGGGATGAGCTCGGCAGGAAATGAGAGCAGAAATGCCCAAAACCCCAAAAGGGGTCGTGGCCGCCTCCTCGGAACCTTCCGGATATGGGGGCTCCGTAGGATGGGATGGAATGGAATGGAATCCCCGCTGGGCTTGGGCTCGTGGGAAACACAGGGAATTCCAAGAGGAATTGGGATGTGCCAGCTCTGGAGAGGGCTTGGAATGAGCTGGGATAGCGGGAAGGGAATGGATGGGATTTGGAGCCCTTCCCAGGACCCCCCAAATTCTCCTTGGGGTCAGGGAGCTCCCACCAACCCCAAATCCTCTTTGGGATTGGGGTCAGGGAGCTCCCACAGGCCCCAAATTTTTGGGGCTGGGGACAGGGAGGCCCCACATCCCTAAAATTTTTGGGGACAGAGTCAGGGAGGTCCCACAGCCCCCAGATTTTGGGGGTCAGGGAGGTCCTACAGCCCCCAAATTCTCCTCAGGGTCAGGGAGGTCCCACAGCCCCCAGATTTTGGGGGTCAGGGAGGTCCTACAGCCCCCAAATTCTCCTCAGGGTCAGGGAGGTCCCACAGCCCCCAGATTTTGGGGGTCAGGGAGGTCCTACAGCCCCCAAATTCTCCTCAGGGTCAGGGAGGTCCCACAGCCCCCAGATTTTGGGCACCAGGAAGGCCCCACAAGCCCTGAAGAGCCCAAAGCAGCCCAGAAAAAGCCACCCCAAATCCTTTTGAGCTCCACCCCGCTGCAGACTGACCCCACGGGGTGGGAGGAGGGTGAGGAAGGATTTGTTACCTCCCAGGAGCCTCCGGATCTCCTCTGGGATCGGGGGATCCATGGGATTCCTTCCCAGCGGAGCCGGATTTGCCGCGATGGCGCTGGGGCGGTGAGGAGGAAGCAGAGAGGGCGGGGACACCCCAAAAAGAGGAGGAGGAGGAACCTTTGGGGCTCGGATTCCTCCTCCTTTTAAACCCCAGCACATCCTTGGGGAATCATTCCCAGCTGTCCTGGATGATCCCAAAAATTACTGGAAATATGGGGATTTCTGTATGGAAAAACTCCTGGAAATATGGAGATTTCTGTGTGGAAAAACTCCTGGAAATATGGAGATTTCCGTGTGGAAAAACTCCTGGAAATATGGAGATTCCTGTATGGAAAGATGGAGATTTCCATATGGAAATATTCCTGGGAATGTGGGGATGCTGCTCCAGAAGGAAATATGGAAAATATTCCTGAAACCGGAAAGATTTCCACAGGGAAATACGGGAAATACTCCTGGAAAGATGGAAATTTCCACGTGGAAATCCAGAGCTGCTCCCAGGTGTTTTGGGCCCCCCAAATTTCTGGGAAATGAAGGGAAAAATTCCATTTTTCCTCAGGTTCTCAGCACAAACCATTCCAGGAACAGGTGCCAGGAGCATCCCGAGCGTTTGGGGTCAGGATTTGGGCTGAGGAGAAACCCCAAAGCAGCTCCAAAGTTCTTCCAGGGCCATTTTGGGTTGAGATTTATCCCAAATCACATTTTCCAGGGAGGGGGATTTGGTGGAGAAGGGACCAGAAAGGGCCAAATTCCAGGAAAAATTCTGGATTTTTGGGATTTTTTATGGGGACAGAGGGAGCACAGGGGGATTCTCCAGATCCAGGACCAGAAACCTCGGAGCCGTTGCTCCCACATCGTTCCCAAACCCAGGAATTTCCCATCCGGCATCTCCCGGATTTTGGCCGAGATTTGAAGCTCGGCTTTTCCCCCTCCCCCTCGAGCCTTTTTAGGCTCAGCTCAGCTGCGGCTTGAGCTCGGTTTTAGGGTGAAAACGCGGAAGGGAGCGTTGGCAGCGGATGCTGAGGCCTCGGAGCGCAGGAAATGCGGCTCAGGGGGCCCCGAGCAGGAGATGGAAAATAAAAATATCGCAGGGAAATAAAAATATCGCCACTCCCATCTCCGGGCCAGGTAGGGCCAGGATTTAAGGAACTGAGAGGATTTTTTGGGGAAAAAACCGTGGATTTCTCTCTCCTTAAATCCCCCAGTCAGGTTGGGTTTCCTGAACCAGGATTTAGGGAATTGAGAGGATTTTTTTGGGAAAGAAATCGTGGATTTCTCTCTCCTTAAATCCCCCAGCCAGGTTGGGTTTCCTGAACCAGGATTTAGGGAATTCAGAGCTTTTTTTGGGAAAAAAATGTGGATTTTCCCTGTCAATCCCTGCTCCTCAAATCTCCTGGCCAGGCAGGGTCTCCTGAGCTGGGATTTAGGGAGTTAAAGCCAGGAAATAAAGAGAACAGAAATTAAAATATCTCAGAATCTCAGGAAAAAGGATTTTCCCGATTTCCAGGAAAAATTGTGATTTTTTTTTTTGTTTGTTCCCCCCTCTCCCTTCCCTTTTTTTTGGTCACCACTTCAATTTTTGGGATGTGTGGAATGGTGACGGATTTGGGATCGGCTGGGAATGGGGATGAACCTTGTCCTGCAGCCTCCCAGTTTGGGGAATTCCGCACCAAAAACCTCCTCCCCACCGGAGAAAATTCCCACCTGGATCCTCCCAGGTCCCGGCCGGGGCTGTGCCCTGCTGACATCCCTTGGAAATCCAATTTCCCGGGAAACGGACGCTGGATTGGGCGTAACCATGGAAACAGAGACGGGCGGCCTTGGAGGAGCTGGGGAGAGGCAGAGCCCGTTTCCAACCGGGAATATCGGGAATATCAGGGAAAAACGGGAGAGGCAGAGCCCTTTTCCTATCGGGAATATCAGGGACTCGTTTGCTTTGGATTGCCCAGAAGAGAAGCAAAAATCCCTGAATATCAGGGGAAAACGGGAGAGATAGAACCCTTTTCCTATTGAGAATATCGGGAATATCAGGGAAAAATGGGAGAGGCAGAGCCCCTTTCCAACCGGGAATATCGGGAATATCAGGGGAAAACGGGAGAGATAGAACCCTTTTCCTATTGAGAATATCGGGAATATCAGAGAAAAATGGGAGAGCTCCGGAGGTTTGATCCATCTGGATTACAAGGGTTTAAAATTCCAGGTTTATTTACAATTCCAGGATCACAAGGGTTTAAAATTCCAGGTTTATTTACAATTCCAGGATCACAAGGGTTTAAAATTCCAGGTTTATTTACAATTCCAGGATCACAAGAGCGATTCCTGCCGGGATCCAGCAGGGACGGGGCAGCCCCTGGGAATCCTTGGCTGAGGGAATTCTTGGAGGTCATTCCAAGTTTCCAGGATGCTCCTCAGCCCTGCTTTGTGCTTCCTGGAGCCTTTTCCCTTGGCTATCCCAGGTTTTTCCAAGTGCTCCGGAGGGAATTCCCTGCGGGAATTTCACTCGGGAGCTCTCGGAGAGCAGAAATCGATGGCTCAGGAGCAGAAATCTCCGTCTCTGCCATCCCAGTTTTCCTTCCCTTCCTCCCCCACCCGGCGCATGGACAGAGCCTGGAAACTTCCAGGAATCCGCCGCATCCCGGGAAATTCCGTGCCCTGAAATCCCTGGATTCGGCAGTGTTGTGGAAGGAGCTGTGGAATGTTCTGGGCGCACCTGGGGACGGGAATTCGGGAATGCGGGATAAATTTAACCCCCAAAGGGGCGGCGGAAGCGATGGGAGGAGCGGAGTAACCCACACCTGGCTCGCCAAATCCTTCGGGAACAGGGAGGCGTCAGGCCGGGCTTATCCCGCTCCGATCCCTCGGATTTCCCGCTTGGATTCCCTTGGATCTCGGCTCCCGGCGGCGGAGGCAGCGAGCGAGACGGACAGAGTGACACGGGCAGGATGAGCTGTCACCTCCCATTTGAGGGACACGAGCGGCGCCCTGGAACCGCTTCCCGATGGATTCCCGATGGATTCCCGATGGATTCCCGCTGCTTCCAAAGCCTTGGAATGCGGCGGGGTTCATTCCAGGCTGGCGCATCCCGGAGTTTATCCATCCTGGAGCCCCCTCGGAGCTGATTCCGCCTCTCAGCGCATCCCTCTCTGTACCTGGAAAAGGCAGGGAATGGATTTCCCCAAGGATCCGGCGGGATCTGGGGAGCCTGGAGAGGGATTAGGGGAGGGGATGTCCCTAAACGGGGCTGGCTCCAAAGGACAGCAATTCCTGCCCCAAATCTGTCCCAAATCTGCCCAGTTCCACCTCATTCCCTGTGTTTGGCAGGATCCAGGGAATTCTGCCATGGCATCTCCAAAGGACAGCAATTCCGGCCCCAAATCTGTCCCAAATCTGCCCAGTTCAGCCTCATTTTTCCCTGTGTTTGGAGGATATGTTCCCTCTTAATTTCCCTGTATTTGGCAGGATCCAGGGAATTCTGCTGTGGCAGCTCCAAGGACAGCAATTCCTGCCCCAAATCTGTCCCAAAGCTGCCCAGTTCAGCCTCATTTTTCCCTGTGTTTGGAGGATATGTTCCCTCTTAATTTCCCTGTATTTGGCAGGATCCAGGGAATTCTGCCGTGGCAGCTCCAGGGACAGCAGCTCCTGTCCCCAGTTTATCCCAAACCCCATGGTTCATTCCCTGCGTTTGGCAGGATCCAGGGAATCTTCCCATGGCATCTCCAAAGGACAGCAATTCCTGCCCCCAGTTTGTCCCAAATCTGCCCAGTTCAGCCTCATTTTTCCCTGTGTTTGGAAGGATTATTCCCTGTGTTTGGGGGATATGTTCCCTCTTAATTTCCCTGTCTTTGGAAGAATCCAGGGACCCAGGGATTCAGGGAATTCTGCCGTGGCAGCTCCAGGGACAGCAATTCCTGTCCCCGAGCTCTGAGGGACCTTTGTCCCCACCCTAAGCTGGGAGCTCCATCCCAGCTCAGCCTGGATCAGGATAAACCCGGCCTCGGGTTTAATTAAGCCCCCATCAAAGCCTGACAGGGGAGCTGATGGAAAACCTGATGGAAAACCTGATGGAAAACCTGGAACAAACCCCGGAAACAAAACCCCAGAACTTCCCTGAGTTCTGAGCGTTAAACAAGTGAAAAATCCCCACCAAAATTCCCCCTCAAATGTGGGTGGGGGTGCTTTTATCCCTGGGAATCCAGGAAATCCTAAATCCTGAAATCCCAAAATCCTGGAATCCTGGATCCTGAAACCCTGAAACCCTGAAATCCTGAAATCCTGAAAACCTGAAATCCTGAAATCCTGAAATCCTGAACTTCTGAATCCTGAAACCCTGATATCCCCAAATCCTGAAATCCTGAACTTCTGAATCCTGAAATCCTGAAAGCCTGAATCCCAAAATCCTGAATCCTGAAATTGTGAACTCCTGAAATCCCAAAATCCTGGAATCCTGAATCCTGCAACCCTGAAATCCTGGAATTCTGAACTCCTGAAATCCCAAAATCCTGAAATCCCGAAATCCTGGAATCCTGAATCCTGAATCCTGAAACCCTGAAATCCTGGAATTCTGAACTCCTGAAATCCCAAAATCCCCAAATCCTGAATCCTGGAATTCCCGAAATGTCTGCCAGAGGGGATGGGAGCTGTCACCAACCCCGGTGACGACCCCAAGGGACAGGACTGATCCCTGGGAACGGTGAAAACCATGGAAAAACCGCAGGGAAAAAGCGGGATTGTCCCAAGGCCTCCCTCTTCCCGCATCCAGGGATTCAATTAGGACGGAACCCTCGGGGCTCTCCGGTCGGAATTAATGGGAAGGCTGGGATGCAGATGGGCCGCCTGTCAACTCCAGGGCAGGATTTTCCTGACGATTCCAGGATTTTTCATCAAACCCTCGTGTTCCAATTTGTCACCGGAGCCGGGCAAGGGGGAGGAAAAGCTCGGGGCTCAGGATTGAATCCAGCCGGGAAAATCCTAAAGGATGGCCCTGCTCGGGCGGGGAGAGGGATTTGGGGATGCTGGAATTGGGATTTGTCAATGGAAATGGGAGCAGCCCCTG